GGGGGGGGGGGGGGGTGGGCACTGAGCCCTAATGTTTACCATTTCTTATCTCAATTTTTAAGACTTATAAAAGGTAAACTGTAAAGCAAGCTCAGAAAGAAGTGGTATAAATTCCCCCCATAAACCACTCTAACTTATCAACTGTTTCCCCCTTGTATCCCTGGTTTTATCTATATGAACACATATTTTACAAAGTTACAAAGCCCAACACAAACACTAATAGCATTTTCATTTTCACTGTCTTCATGTAATTATACTTTTCAAATGGCTAGATTTAATAATTTTTTGGGTAAGAGCTACATAACACTCTTCCATATAACTTTATGTTATTAGTCTATCAATAAATATTTGGGCATTTTACCTTAATGTAAGAAATACTGCACTCAACCACTTCCATATAAGGCCTTAATATTTTTAATCAGGAAATGATAATGCTGTATGAAATGAAAATTTTTCATTTTTATTACCAATGAAAAATACCATACATGAAATTACTGGACCAAAGTACACTTATATTTTTCATGGCTTTTGATTCCCAAAGTGCTTTCCAAAAGGACCGACCAAATCATACTCTTTTCACCAATGTATATAAATGTCACCATCACACACTAACCTGGAATAATCTTTTAATACCTTGTTGCTCATCATGTTGGTTATAAAATGGAACCTTGATGTTTTAACTGCGTCTGTTAGATGATTGTGGTGGCAGACAAGGAGGCTGGAGATGTTCTATGATCACGTATTATTGTCACATTTAAAAGCACACCAGAATGCGGTACGCGTTTGTCTGTCTCTCAGTGTTATCTGTGGCATCACTCATGCTGACATGTATCTGTTTCCAACAAATGACTCCAGCTGATTTAATGCCTGGCATGAGGCAGGGGCAGCGCACACCAGCAGCCACAAAATCCTCACACCAAGCTCAGGTTAACAGTGGTAGGCCAGAAACCAGGCCATTTTCTGAGACCGCCTTGTTAAAATGAAAACGCCTCTCCAGTGGGAACAGAGCAGCCCCTCTCCCTGAGGAATGGAATGTGCCCGGGGCTTGGAAACCCCTTCCCGGCTTCGGGTTCAGGTACACATTGCGGGGAGTCCCAGCTCTGCCTTTCACGGGCGCCACGACTTTGGACACTACGTTTAATCATTCTTAAGTCTCAGTTTCCTCATCGGAAAAACAGAAACAAAAATAAAACCTGCCCACCAGGATTTTTTTAAAGATCAAGTGGGATAGGCATCTAAATTGCTTAGCACAGCATATGGCACACTGTCAACACTCAATAAAATGTCACTAAAAACAGTAGTGGTAGCTGTCGTTTCTGCTTTCAACCATTAAATTGGTTCTATGATAGAAATTAAACGATGAAGGAATATTGCCTTAACTCAGCGGTTCTCAACCTGTGGGTCCCACCTAAGACCATCCTGCATATCAGATAGTTACATTACAATTCCTAACAGTAGCAACATTACAGTTATGAAGTAGCAACAAAAATAATTTTATGGTTGGGTCACAACATGAGGAACTGTATTTAAAGGGCCAGAAGGTTGAGAACCACTGCCTTAACTGATAGGAGATTTAGATTCCAATCTTATCCATTTATTATATATTTATCTACCTACCAACCTAGCTGCCTATTTACTTATCCACAGATAGCAAGATAGAAATATATAGGCACGTCCTTTAAAAAGGGACTGAAGGTAATTCGAGTAACTCACAACAAAATCTTGCCTGGGTTAAGGATAAGCCTGGACCACCACTGCCTGGGGAGGCCACCGACAACTACTACACAACGCAAAGCTCATCAATACCTCCCTACGCACCACCAGCCCCGATTAGAGCACAGAGGAAGCAGGTTTCGAGAGCGCAGGTGTGAAGGGACGAGGAAAGGTGTGGCCTACCTGGGAGATGAGCAGCTGGCAGGCGGCCAGCTCCCGCTCGCTGGCGTTCATCTTCCTGTTGGAGTCCATCTGGGCGCTCTCGAGCTGCTTGCTGCGGTTCACCAGGGACTTGACCTCTGACTTCATCTTGCTGATGTACAGACGGGCCATGGTGAACTCCTCCTCAATGACGCCATTCACGTCTGCCAGCTGGGCACAGGAGGGGACACAGCTACTGCCTGTAATTCCCAGAGGTCCTTGGGGCCCCTGAAACCCGTTCACGGGTCCTCAAGAGGTCTTGGGTTCCTGGTTAAGAATCCCTAATTACAGGACCCCAAGCTGAAAATGGTCCTAAAACGTACTATACGTTCAACCTCACGATTTCGAAACCTCAGGTGAAACTTTCAACTGAAAACCTCTACTAAACGTAATCCTCAATTAACCAGTCTTTTCTTTCTAATTCATTATTAGGGTGAACGAGATAATATCAAAAGAAAAATACACTAAAAATTAAAACAAGAGATAACTTTAAGATGTGTTCCATTCCATGTCTTATGTCTTATATTCCTAGACCAGCAGAGGCCCAGTGCTTCAAAGGGTGACTCTGAGCCCCTAGAGCAGTGATAGCGAACCTTTTGAGCTCGGCGTGTCAGCATTTTGAAAAACCCTAACTTAACTCTGGTGCCATGTCACATACAGACATTTTTTTATCTTTGCAACCATAGTAAAACAAAGACTTATATTTTTGATATTTATTTTATATATTTAAATGCCATTTAACAAAGAAAAATCAACCCAAAAAATGAGTTCGCGTGTCACCTCTGACACACGTGTCATAGGTTCGTCATCACTGCCCTATAAGAACTCCAGCCAGAATTTCAATTATGTTCTCTAGAGTCTGCTATTCAGAAAGAGGAGTAGTCTAAAGGCTTGAATATGTTTCTACAACTACGGATTGAAAAATAAAAAGGATTTTCTATATAGTCCTCAATTAAACAACAACAAAATCTAATGAACAAGAAGGCGCCATTACCAAATCCACGTCTCCTTGCCTCTACCGGCCTGCCCCTTCCAGGCAGACCTGCATTGACATTATTTAAGATCACTGAGAATAACAGTCTAAGTGCCCCTTTAGGAGAGAAGAGTCTGACAGCCAACATTCCTGCATGAGCTCATGTTTGGTTTCTACATTTCAGAGCTCTACTGCAAACAAAAATCGACACAAGGTACTTGGGATAGAAACCCATTTGCTGAGATGCAAACATGCTCTTGAAGGGAAGTTGACCAAATGAGCAAAGTCACTGTGTGCATATTTTGTTTAACCACCAGAGGGCATTCTAGCACCTCAGTCCAGAACCAGCCCATGAATAGAGGCCTCAGCTCGTTTTAAGACAATGATTCTATGTTTTTTTGATGTTCCACAGTATACTCTAACAGCCCAATTTTGTCACTGATGTTTTCATTAATTCAACATGTGACTCTTGTTTCAGTAAACATTGAAGAGTTAGGAAAGGAATTATCAGCCCTGAAAATTGGTAGCAAATAGGACACAAACTAGACAGTAGGCTGAGCACCTGTAACTTAACTTGGTTCAACCTTCCCCTAAGAATTCTCCAACAGCATTAGTTACATCGGTGTCAATCAACACAACTTAGGATCTATATTAACAGCAAGAAAATCTACAAGTATCAACTTTTGCCTCCATTTTAAATTAATGGAGGTTCTTGCTTAAGCCCGTTATATTTCTGACTGACAACAATAGGTCTACTACCAACACTCCTCCTTACACATTCCCTTTATCATCCTATAGCATGGAGAAAATGAGTAAGAGAAGCCTGCAATCTTTACACTGTTTTGCTTTTCTACCTTTGAAGTGCTTAAGCCTGTTATATTTCTGACTGACAACAATAGGTCTACCAACACTCCTCCTTACACATTCCCATCCTATAGCATGGAGAATATGAGTAAGAGAAGCCTGCAATCTTTACACTGTTTTGCTCTTCTACCTTTGAAGACTGGTCAAACGTGGAACAGAGATAAGAAACTCATTCTTTAGCCTGACCAGGTGTGTCCTGCATACTGCCAGTTTCAGTGGAAAGGGACGGGAACATCCGTATCTTCTATGTGGAATTCACAATCTGCACCAGCGCCTGGTGGATAAACATCGCTGAGCCAACAGGCAGGGCGTCCTGGGAGGAGACAAACCCCTCCTCCGCCCCAGGTCTGTCCTTAGACAAGGACGCTTTCTACTCTGTGCCCAGATCCCCTGGGTACTGGGAGAATAAGAAATGTATATACAATAAGGGCTTCCTCCAAAACGATAGTTGGGTATTTCTTCTCCCAAAACCAGAACCAGAAGCACTGAAGCCTACCCTTGTCCTAGGAGAGCTAACAAGAGATTTGAGTCCAGGTCTGATGGAAGAAAACACGATTTCAAACAAATGACTTTAACTGAGAGGTTTCTTACCCCTTAAGAATTCATATATTTAGTCATGTAAATTCTAAGTTTTAAATAATTTTAGAACACTGTTATTTCAAAAAGAAGAAACCGAGTTTGCTGCTGAGATGTTATTTATAACTCTCCCGAGTCTGACAGTGACTCCAACCGTAGACACTAGACTGTGTGATCTAGTACAAATGACTAATCCAAGGAAAAAGGGCTGCCTTCACTTGGAAGACAGATGCTGCCTGCCCCTCTGCTCTGCCTACAGAGGACGAGTCACCCACACACCCACCACCTGCCCCAGGAGCATGGGCTTCTGTGCAAGGTGCCATTTCTAGGCCAAGTAAAGGTAAGTACGGTGACTGCTCACCCTCTAGTGCAGAGGTTCTCAACCTGTGGGTCGCGACCCCTTTGGCGGTCAAATGACCCTTTCACAGGGGTCACCTAAGACCATCCTGCATATCAGATATTTACATTACGATTCATAACAGTAGCAACATTACAGCTATGAAGTAGCAACAAAAATAATTTTATGGTTGGGTCACAACATGAGGAACTGTATTTAAAGGGCCAGAGGGTTGAGAACCACTGCTAAGACATAAAGTCAGAGGAGACTAAAAGAAGTAGTCAGTGTGGGTCCAACCAAAGTCAGGCAGCTAATCCATCCATTTCATGTACTCTAACCTCTATCTTATTTGTTTGTGGTTGTATTCCTGGAAATCTTTGTAGGGAACACCCAGTGACATGGTACATGAGAAAAAGAGGCAGTTCATGAATAAACCTGACAAAGTCAACACCAGGCTCATCTTGTCAGGAGCTGGTCTCATCTTGTTTTGTTGACTAAACAAAATATTGCCTGGACTCTGTGTCAAGACAAGACAGAGCTGGAGAAATAGGGGTTCTTCCATTTACACATGGTGCCGGCCTGCTACATTCTGGAGGTGATGCAGAGAAGACTCCCACAGCCATCCTTTCCCTCACACCAGTACTACAACAGGGACCTCGTGGGAACTAAAAGAACAAAAGTTCCCTCGTGGGAATTTTATGAACAAAAATACAAGATCACTGAAAATTTCCTAGATTTGCTCATTTTCTTAGGGCAAAATAACTATGTCAACTGAGTAGTCCTAACAATAAGGAAAGTGTCAGTAATAAGTGGGACCTAATCAAACTAAAAAGCTTCTGCACAACAACATCAAATTACAACCTATGGAATGGGAGAAAATATGTGCAAGTCACATATCTAATAAGGGTTAATATCCAAAATATATAAAGAACTCATACAACTCAATAGCAAACCTGAAGAATCTAATTAAAAAATGGACAGAGGATCTAAACAAACATTTTCCCAAAGACATACAGATGGTCAACTGGTACATGAAAAGATGCTCAGCATCACTAATCATCAGGGAAATGCAAATCAAAATCACCTCACACCTGTTAGAATGGCTGTCATCAAAAAGATGAGAGATAACAAATGTTGGCAAGGCTGTGGAGAAAAGGGAACTCTCATGTTGGTTGGAATATAAATTGGCGTAGCCACTATGGAAAACAGTATGGAGGTTCCTCAAAAATGAAATTTCTTAAAAGTAGAACTACCATATAGCCCAGCCACCCTACTTCTGGGTCTATAACCAAAGGAAGTGAAATCAGAATCTTATAGAGATATCTGCATTCCCACATTCATTGCTGCATTACATACAATAGCCAAAAAATGGAAACAACCTAAGTGTCTGTCAACAGATAAATGGACACAGGTGTGTGTGTGTGTGTGTGTGTGTGTGTGTGTGTGCGCGCAGGGGGGTGGGGGGTCGGGGGTTGGGTGTTACACAACGGAATGTTATTCAGACATGAGAAAAAAGGAAATCCTGCCATCTGCAATAAAATGGATGGACCTTCAGGGTTCATCCCTCAAGTGAAATAAGTCATACAGAGAAAGACAAATACTATATGATATCACATATATGCGGTAGCTAGAAAATCTAAGAACGTCAAACTCAGAGGAACAATGGTTACCAGGGGTTGGGAGTGGGTACATGGGGGCGTTATTGGACAAAGGGTACAAATTTCCAGTTATAACATGAACAATTTTGGAGAGCTAATGCATAGCAGGGACTAATATTATAGCTAGTAATACTGCATCATATACTTGAATGCTGCTAAGAGGTAGATCTTAAATGTTCTCACCAGGAAAAATAAAGGCTAACTGTGATAAAATGAAGGTGGCAGCTAATACTATGATGGTAATTATTTTGCAACATATAAATGCATCAAATCAAGATACTGCACACCTTAAATTATACAATGTTATGTGTTCACTGTATCTCAAAAAAGCTAGGGGGCAAAAGTATCTGATTCCATAATGATACATCTAATAAATATCTGTATACGTCATGTAATTTCTGAGCTGACAACGTTGAGATAACCTGGCTCACCTTGTCATCTTCCAGAGAAGCAACGTGACTTGTCCAGAGTCACATCACTCCTCCGTTTAGCTCTCACTGTCCTAATAATTAAATCAGAATTACAAGAAAAAGAATGGAATGATTAAGAGTATGATGCTCTACAAATGAGAGTTATCAATGAAATTAACCAGGGCATCCAACGTCTGGAATCCAAAAATATCTTTAAAACATCCAGTAGAGTTATTTTAAAATAATCTCAGACTTCAGATTCCCAGAGGTAAGGACTCTTTTTTTAAATGCTGAAGCACCCAGACATTCCTTGATTTCATTAGCATTTTTCATCAGCTCTATTTTAGAACTTAGCATAAAAATATCTTCCTTTATCGTTATCAGCAGCAGGCACGAACTTGCCATAAATCAATTCCATCTTCATATTTCCAAAGCCATTCAATCACCCAAACGTCAAAAGTTTATAGCTCAACACCAGTGTATGCGTCTAAAAATTCTTCTCAATCCTCAAATATAAAACCACCAAACTGGAACTTAATAGGGTTCATCCTATAGTATCTGAGAATTCTAGCTAAAATTAGATTCATTCATAAAGTTCATGCAATATTCAATTACAATAGAGGTTCAATGAAAGAATGATAGGTTTACAAGAGCTCATATACTCTAAACCCAGAGCTGTAATATCATCCAAAAAGGGCTTTCTACGTTTTCAGAAATGTCTATAAACTATGTTATTTGGGAACTCTTTTCTAGAACAATCCCAACTAAAAAGCTGAGAGTTCCCACTAGCAGGCTAATGTAGAATTCAGCCTTTTAAAAGTCAAATGGCTAAATTCAAAGATTTTGTTTCAGAGACTTGTGAGGTGGAAGTTGAGCAATACAGCACCATTCCCTGGCTTGACTAACCCACACATTTATCAGTGGCTACTCTGTACAAAGTACTGTATTATGATAAAGCTACTACAATCAAAACAGACTTTTATTGGCATAAAAGTCAATGAAACAAAATGGAGACCAGCAACAGTGCACACACTTTGTGTGTGGTGGATATGTTCGTTCTCTTACTGTGGCTTCATAAGTGTATACATATGTCAAAACTTCTCAAATTGTGCACTTTAAGTACGACTAACTTTATATCAGTTATACCTCAATAAAGCTATTTTTAAAATATGCCTATCTTATTTTTTCAATGGCATCTCTACATTGTGGCAAGCTGTTAATTTTTCTTGGCTGATAACTTTGTTTATTCTCTCCCCACCCCCCATTCCTAGCTCATGGACAACTGTATACCACCCCCATTTTCCCCCCCTCCCTTACCCCTTGCCATCAATGGCACCGATGTGCACAGCCCCAGGGGATTATTGATGGTTGGTTTAAGCCCATGATAGTAATCCTAATTCTCTACTTTCCTAGCTTCCCTTGCAGTTTGGGGTGATCATGTACCACACTTCTGGCCAATAAGGTCCAGGGAGATGTCAAGGGGACTTTTGGGATACAGTTCCCTCCTGGATGAAAGCTGGCTGCGTTTCAGCGCAGCCTGCCTTGGATGTAGTTGTGTGAGGATGTGCAGACTGGTGCTAGAGCAGCTATCTTGCTCCCATGAGACAAAAACCTACAGACATGAAAAAGGAACAGGCTAAGGAAAACATAAAGGAAACAGAGAAAAGTCCTGGATACTTGACAGTGTTGAAGCACTGCACCAAGCCACGACTTGCTTCTATAACTTTAACAAGCTAAAGAATGGCCTGAGGAATCTTGTTAAAATGCAGAGTCTGATTCAGTGGGTGTGAGTAGGCCTGAGATCTATATTCCCAACAAACTCCAAGGTGACGCAAATCATAACCTGAAGAGCAAAATTCTAGACGTCTCATACGGAGAATAATTAAATGTGGCTGTGTTTTTCAAGCCACTGTTAGAATCCTATTACTTTCAGCTAAAAGCTCTCCTAATTCATGCTGATTGGTGGGGGAATTTTCACTCTGCTGGGGTCTCATAGAAAAGGAGAAACACAAGTCTGAGACCAGAACTGTTGGTTAACCTATCTGATTCCAAATTTCTGTGACAATGGCATATAAGTGTGAGGAATAAACCAATTTATATCAGTTCAACCAAGACTTGAAGACATTTCCTATATCTGAAGGTAATTATTTTCCTCCTTCTCCTTACTCAATCGTTCACTTGGTCATTCATCAGCTCTTTGATCATCCTTATTCGAATATTACAAAGCACGTGGCAGTGGCAAGGCACTGCACTAGGCATTGGATTCTCGGGAGAATCAAGCACAGACGCCCTCGCTCGGATCACGCTGTTAGAAGAGCAGGAGAGAATGCAGGGCTGACTTACAGTCTTCACGTCGTTGGTGCCGATGATGCCGCCTATCTCCCCCAGGTCCTTCAGCAGCAAATTCAGGATCTCGGTGGCTCGCTTCTTCTGGTGGTTGCTGAGCTCTTGCAGCTGGCTCAGCTCGCGCTGTGTGGTTGTCAGTGTGGTCTGAAAACACATTTCCACAACAGATTAAAAGGCTCGCCCATCGATTTTATGCACTCAGCACTGCAATGAATAACAATATGACGTACGGTGAAGTTCTGTTACCATTTCATGTGATTTCCATATAAGGGTTCCTTTAAGTCAAACAATAGCATAGCGCTGAATTCTTTGACAAGAAGAGAAAGTCGGCTTAGCCTGATATGTTATGTCTACATATCAGATGACAATCTCCAGGTTAGTGAAATAAGTTATTAAAAATAAATAAAGCCCAAAGGAACCCTGAGGTTCAGAACGTGTACTCACATCTTCCTACCTACCAGATGTTCTGTGTCAGTTCACGTCCTCAAGGGTCTAAACATACCTGCAGGCACCCCTACCTCAACCTCCAAACAAACTTGCTCCCTGGACCACTTCCAACGTCCCATCTGACTCCAGTCTGGAAGGCCCAGAGGGGCATTAATGCGTTTAGAAAATAGCTTAGAGAAATTCTAATCTTCACCGTGAAGTTGAACTGAACATTCTTCACCTCTTTTCAAAAGTAATCAAGTTCAGCAAGATCGGCCTTCTTAATATATAACAGAAGCTCCATTTTATTGCCAAACATTAACAAACCTATACCTTTCCATCCTTCATGTGTGCTACCAAGAGGTATGTATTTTTAACTAACTAACCAAATAACTAACTAACTAACTAAAACTCTCAACATCAAAAGAATAGTCATCTTTTGGTGTCTTGGTATTAACTCAGCCAACAACAAAAAATAATTTCCCTAAATTATGGTGCTCTGGAGGCTAATACAAAGACGTTTATTCAATTCTTCCACACGCAGCTATTTTATTAGAGCACTTTTTAATGATCTTACTAAAAATGGTACTCTAAATGAGTCCAGTAATCCTTCAGTTTGACAGAAAATAAGAACTGTATTGTGAAAAATGTTCCATTGTTTTGAGAAGCAAATACCAAGGACTAGTTAAGGACCCTGTAGAAGAAAACAAGCAGAGAAAATCGAAGTCTCCTCCTTCCCTAAGTGACTGCAGTCTGTCTTTCCTTCTGTTTCTGTCTTTGCTTTGGTATTACCACCACTGGTATCACTGTGTTTTAAAATCCACAGGAGCAGCAGATCCCATCTTGGGAGGCCATTTAAAAAGTCCGCCTCATGCAGCTGAATGCACAGAGCGAGGAGCCTTTTCTATCAGCTTTACGGTCAGCAGCCTAGAGCTTCCCTGTACCATCTGCTGCTCCTCCTTGCCGGGAGGACTGGATGCTTTCCACAGAGCAGTCTGGGCACAATCTCACAATACCAGACCATTGGGCTGAGGTGCCAAGGGCAGCCATTCAGCTTCCACCCATTTTCCAAATAGGAAAGGACAAAATGGACACATCCCAGCACCAGCCACCTCGCCAAATGCTCACTGGCCCTGATGCCATGAGCTCACTGTGCAGGGCCGGCAGCATCCTTCGCTGGGAGCATCTGAGAACGAGAACACGTGCAGACTAAAGCACTGGATGGAAGCAGGACAACAAACAAACCAAACAGCGCAGGCCCGGGCTAGCACGGGCGCTGTGGGAGGGAAGGGACTTCACTCAGGAGGACACAACAAGAAGAGTGAAGTCCATTGCCTGCAGGGTCACCCACTCTCACCTACTGATTTAACAGCTTGAGATTTGCTTATTGAAACTATAGCAAATGCACAGTCCATGCTAAGTGCTTTATGTGAACTGCCACATTCTCACACCCTGAAAGAAGCATGTTATTATTGCCATTTTTACAAATAAGGAAACGAATACTCAAGACATTTAAATGTTTTGACTAAGGCTTAAACAATTCTAAAGTCAAAAGTTTAACCAGAGTCCTGGCTGGTGCGGCATCCCGTACACCAAAAGGTGGTGGGTTTAATTCCCGGTGAGGGCACATAACCAGGTTGTGGGTTCAATCACCAGTTGGGGTTCATGTGGGAGGCAATCGATCGATGCTTCTCACATCTCTCTCTCTCTCTTCCTCTCCCCTCCCCTTTTCCTCTCTGTAAAATAAATAAATAAACGAATAAATAAATATCAATTAAAAAAATTTTTTTAAGTTTTTAAAGAACTTTTTTAACCAGGATTTTTCTGGCTCCAAAGTCTGCACTCTCTTGACTATTCCACAAGGCACCCCTGTTAACGTTATAAATCTCCTGAATAGAAAACAGTTGTGCTACGCAGTTCTAGGATGACTGGATGGAAGTCACACAAAATATTTCAATTATTGGAGGATTTCAGAGAATGCATCTAAGTCTGACACTGAAAATCCATTCAGCCAACTGCCTTCCTTTATACAGTCCGTCAACAACCATGGATATATACAAGAGTGACAACCAAGGAAGTCCCCCCTGGACAAACGCTCTCACCGTTTTCTGGGCCAGCTCATCGGTCAGCTGTTCATTGGCCCTCATCTTGTCCTCCACCTCCTGGGACTTCTGGTCATAATTGACGGCCAGCTCCTCAAGGGCCTGCAGGACTTCTTTCACCTCGTCTTTGGCCGCCTCGTTTTCAATCTGGAGCCGTGTCAGCTCCTCTTGGATCTTCTCATAGTCTCTTCTTGTGGAAGCTAGAAGCTGGGAAATGAGTTGGCACAGGACTGGTGAACCTAATGTTTAAATGTTTGTGCTCTGTTCTCTATCCAAAGTAAAGTAATTTTAAAAAACAGACACACAAAAAACAAGTTGGAAAAGTGCGGGATGACGAGAACCCCTACTATATATCCAGATGCTAAATTTAAAAATAACATGTTATTTCAAAAACCTGTTTCTTCCTCTTTCTTTTCTTTCTCACTTTTTTTTCTTTATTCATTTTTGTTTAAAACTGCATAGGCTTACCTCGAAGAATTGATTACACATAAAAAATCACTATACTTCGTAGCTGCCTGGCTAGCTCACTTGTCTAAAAAAGTATGGGGGGAATCATTTCTGAGGACATAAATACTTATATGGCTTTTTAATATTATCATTATTTCACATTGTAAACTGGTAAATTTCAGAGTCAACCAAGACAGAAGAAAAGGACAACCATTAATTTTTCTTAATAGTCACCATGGACGTAGAGAAGCATACACCCCAAACATTAAATGATTTACAAGTGAATGGCTGGGCATGTAGATGCTTTCAATATCTGTGTGCCTCTTGTGTTGTTTTTTTCCTGGAGTAAACAAATATTGCCTTAATACTGTAAGAGAGAGGTGGGGAACCTTCCTTCTGCCAAGGGCCACGTGGATATTTATAACATCACTGGTGGGCCATACACAATTATCAACTTAAAAATTAGCCTGCTGTATGTGATCAAACATCTAATTAACTCAGCATTAATGCCTGGGCAGGGCCAGACCAAATGATTCTGCAGGCCTTCTATGGCTCACCGGCAGGACCTTCCCTACCCCGGCTACAGAGAAAGTAAAATATTAAGAGCTTTAACTGCCCTAGCCAGTTTGGCCCAGTGAAGGGTCGCAGGTTCAATTCCAGTCAAGGGCACATACCTCAGTTGCAGGCTTGATCCCTGGCCCCAGTCGGGGCTCATACAGAAGGCAACCAATGGATGTGTCTCTCTCACATCCATGTTTCTCTCTCTGTCTCTCCCCCTCCCTTCCACTCTCTCTAAAAATCAATGGGGGAAAAATTCCTCAAGTGAGGATTAACAACAACAACAAAAAGGAGTTTTAACTGTAACAAAAAAGAACATTTACCACAGGCAGTCGTACCAACTTGGAAATGCAAAGGACTAGAATGAGAGAAAGAAGGCAGGAAACACTAAGCAAATGAAAGGCTCAGCTAGAGTTCAGAGGAAAATCAATTAAATATGGTCCATCTCACGACAAAGGCATGCATGATCTCCCTGCCAAGGGAAGCATTTGGGCAGGGGTATAATCCTTGTCCCGGAGAGATGAAGGGGAACAAAGAGGAAAGGAAGGAAATGGCTATGGAGAGCTATATCTATGGGAAGTTGGGACTGGGGACATGAACCCATGGCACCTGCTATAATTGCATCGCCTGATTCAATCCATAGCATTTTAGCAACAAAGCAGAAAGCACCCTAAAGCACAAAAGAGAAAAAAAGTACTTAGATGGTCCTCAAAAAGAGAATTACGAACCATCTATACTTGGTAGATTGTCTCTTCTTTGCTTAGGTCCCTGTTTTGTAAAATACTTGGCAAAACGCAATGCAATAAAGACACTTACTGGAGAACTGAATGCCATCAGGGAGACTGAAAACAATTTGCCTCTTTTTTATTGTATCACATGTACTAGTATATGAATGCAGCATTTGGACCCCTTTCCACTCTGTGTTCCCTCCTCTACTTTCTAATTTTCATTTGTTTGTTTCTCCTACAAGATAGCATGAGAACATGGTGTATATCACATACCTGAGCCAGCTGATTTGCCAAGCTGAAAAAAGCTAAAATGGCAAAAAACAAGAGTGCTGAGCACTGGGTGTGAGGAATTAAAACCATCCTTGTCCACTTATCAAGTTCCCCTGTCTCTGCTCTTTAAACACAAGTGTAGCAACCAGCTACTCCTTCTCAAATCCCAGGGCTCTACCAAGTCAGACATTTATCTTCTAAATTTGGGCAAAACCAGCTTTTAAAAGAAATCTACCAAGAAATTTCCACATGATTCAGTGATCTTGAACAAATTCTTTGCAAATTAAAATTCTGGAACAAACATCAACAACAAAGAGTAATAAAAGAACTTTGTAAGAAAAAATTTATTATTATGAACTTTACCTCATCCTGATCCAACATCTGTTGCTTTAGCTTTTCAGCCAGCTGGCTCTGCTGGTTAATTTCATCATCCTGAAATGAAACATCATGTTTAATTCTTTTTGGTTAGTTATGTCATTTTTGATATTCGAGATAGTCCGATACCAGGGTGCCAGCTGTGAGCTTCCTAATAAAATGAAGGGAATGGCGTGGTGTAGTGCTTCCCCACAGAAGAGAGACTGGCTCTGGGACCTTGATTTGGTTAAATATATCTCACCCTCTTTTGTCAGCAGATGAAACATCTGGATATTATGGAAAATATAATATCCTACACATTAAACTCAACCCTTGCTCTTCCAGAAATCAGAGCTGCAGGGCGTGGGAACTGAAAGGGACCAGGAGCTCTTTCCCACAATGCAAAGATGTTAACAGTGAATCCCTAGCTCAAAAAGCAAGGCAGTGAATGTCTGACCATCTGCACTGTAATATATTCATGTCCCACATCTCGTCAAACACATCAGTGACCAAGAATGCAGGCACGTGATATGTGGGAGAGACCAGTATTTCTACTTCAAGACTCTTACTTAGAGAGACTGGAAAAATATTTACTGGAGAATTAATCTTTAGCATGAGCAGTTTTCCCTCTTAATTGGAAGTTAATTTTCTTACCGGTCTGAAAAAAACACCACAAAAGTGCAGCAACAGTAATTCTTACTTTCCAGCCTGTCACTGAAATGGGAAAGGGTCTTCCCACAGGCAAATTCGTTCTCGCTCTCATGTTCTGCCACTAGGTGTTGCTGCACAAAGCCAGGGCTGCCAGCCTCACTACCCATGCAGTCGTCTCTGCCTCTCCCTAAGCACATCTATCCAGTGTGGGCGACGCAGCTGGCCAACGACACCCGGCTACAGGAGGCTCGGTGTTCACTGTGAATGCGTCCATGAGTTCAAGTGCACATCTGAAGCACAGCCTGTGAGAACGCCAACGTGGCTTCACCTGTGCCTCTCTCCCTCAGAAACGGCAGGAAATCCTACCTGATGACACTTCTGGGGTCTAAACCCCAAGTAGAGACCCCAAGCACAGGCAGATTTAGTTCAGTATTGGGGTCCCTCTTCTTGCAGGTGCTGCCCAGTTTTCATCAACTGCCGGAGGGGAGGGGAGGGGGGACAGAGAAGGGGAGGGGAGAAAACTGCACTGTGCTCTCTACCTTTTCTAGGGGAGAAGGGAGATAAATTCAAGGGCCTCCTTGGCAAACCTTATTAGCAAAAGCTCAGTTTTCCATGGGATATTTCCAGCCTTCTTGGTCGTGCCTGTGCATACATTTAAACCAGATTAACTCATTGTCTGTCACAGCTAATGCTTTCCGTGGAGCGAGAACTCTGAAATCAATGTCACAGGATCTGCAACTCCTTTTCCTTCATGTAGCACATCTTTTGGGCTTAATTCTCTCCTCAAGGAGACCCTTTTCTATAGAACTTTTTACATTGGTGTTTCTTTAATGCGTCTGCAAAATACTCATGATTTTCCTCCCCAAACCAGATTTCTGGCAGGAGAATTAGGCAAATTACACCAAAGTGAAACTGCTAAAAATGGTACGTCTACAACTGGGAGACAATTTTATAGGACCTTTTTTCTCTTCTACTTTATAAACTTAGAATGTTGGGTACCGGGAACAAGGCTGAGTTATGTTCCTCAGCACCTAAATATTAAACAACATAAAAGACTCAGGATGTTTAACATCAGGAGTTGCCATCTTCCCCTGGGACATATAAACACCAGCTACACGTGATATAAATCACAAGAGAAGACAAATAGTGCAACAAGCGCTTTGTTCTTATCCTGTGTTCATTTCAGAGCCTGGAGACTCGGGCTTCCTCCCTGACAGGTGACAAGTGGGACAATGAAGTGATTCTTGGGGTGCAGTGAGAAGCCAAGGGCCCCTCTCCCCGTCTGGGGAGGATGGAGAACAGGGATCACATTATGAGGACAGAAATCACTGTACCAGAGACTTTTCCAAAACTACAGTTACCCTTTATTAAGGCAACTGCTCTAAGGAAGGAACACAGTCTGTTGTGATCTTTAAAAAAAAAAGTCTTAAAACTTTCAGAATAAGATGTGCTGTGTCATCTATATCTATCATATGTACATCTCGCACACCATGTTTATGCATGCTCTCTCTGATGCTATTAAGATCTCGTCCACGAGATTTTAAAGCACTTTTTAGAAAATAGTCTTGTACTTGAGTTTTCTTATCCATGAAATAGGTGAGCTGTCAACAGGTCATTTATGAAGACGCCTTTGTTGCAATGGTAAACAGTGAAATAGAAGTTCAACTTGTATTTCTACTCACACTTTATTCCTCCTCACGTATCTCCAATAGTACAGTAGCACTGGAGAGGTGAGGGGGGATGAGAGACAGTGCCAACCCATCTGCTCATCTCATAACTCCGAGGTCAGCCCACCTGTGAACCATCACCCCCCTGATACCACATATGCTGTGGCTTCTCCCTTAAGCAAACAGAAAGGGAGAAACAGAAAAGCATCTGCTCTGCACTAGGAACTTTTACTCCCCATCGCTAACTTTTGAAGTAACAGATGTGAGCCCCATGCTGCCAATGAGAAAAACATCTTCAGCGGGCCTGGTCACCAGTGCAGGTCTCAGGATTTTAAGTCACAGACCAACTCTGAAGAGCAAGATTGCCGTCGCGCAGCACTGCCTTGGGAGAGCACCTGTCCTCAGATCCCTGAAGGGACAGCACCGAGGGACAGGGTGGGCAGCTGGGAGGAGACTGTGTAGCCTTTCTCCCACCACAGTCTACCTGGGTTCATTAGAGCCGGCATGTTCCTCACTTAAAGGGTAAGGTCAACATGGGGTGAGTACTGAGCTGGGAGTCAGATGTTGTGTAATCTCATTGCAGCTCTGCAACCTACAGGTGATGCCAACTTGGGTAAATCATGGAAACAAGCTGGGCTAGTTTCTCATCTGGATCCAGATACTGTCAGTTCCACCACTCAATAATCTATGTTGGTAATCCCAACTCATGAATTCTCAAAAGTACCAAGCCACCTTCACCATCAGAAGCAGGAAGTACTTTCTAAAAGCTTTAAGGCAGTCCATGGAGATCAAACCACCAGCTATGGTGCCATCTAAGGCTGGAGCTTTGGGGCTCAGTCTTCTCCAAGATCTCTCAGCGTCACCCTGTGATGGACTGCAAATGCTAACCTTGAAATGTGTACTCTACAGGGTTTTCAAGGCACAAGCTAAAAGGAAATAATGTGACAGAAAATGTGCCAGGCCGGTCATCAGGAGGCAGACTTCAGGGCCAGCTCTGCCAGCTGCCTGCTGAATGCCCCAAGGCGTGGCATTTGCATCACTCTGAACTGGGTTCTCATTATCCCCTTTCAAAAGCTGCATTCAAAACTCTAAACTCTTTTTCAGATCAATGAAGGCACCTCGAGCAGCAAAGGCAAATGATCCCAATTCCAGCCATGGCAGGTGTCTATTCATAGAGAAAAGAGGATAGAACCAGGATATCATCCCTCATCTAAGATTATTTGGAAATTATTAAAATGAAACCAAAAATTCTAAAATGAGGAAAAAAAACACTATAGTATGTTTAAACAATAGCATTTCTTTGGAGAAATCAAGAAATTGCCTGTACTGGTAACTTATTGTTCTCATTTTTCTCCTTTTTACTTTGAGGTTTTGTGCAAAATCCCTGGGTATAAATGGAAGGGTAACAGTAAGTCAAGGGCCTAAAGGGCAATTAACCCAGTTCACACCTGTGTGAAGCACTTATTAAACATGTCACCAGAAGGGTAGGGTGACCCCAGTTTAACACTGCTATTATAATGCCAACTCCCAGAGTCACAAACTCAAAGCAGAACAAGCTTCCTTAAGGCAACCAGTCACATTTCCCTTGTAAAGGTGACACCAGACTCTGAGCTTTACTCAAAAGAGAGGCCTGTGAGATTAATGGCAAAGTTCGCATAACAAAGCTGTTTCATTCAAGCCAGAGGTGTCCCTGACCACTCTGAGCTGAACTACAGCAGAAAAGATTAAATCAGACTAAAAATATCAGCAACCCTGATGAAATGAACTGAAAGGATTTCGAATATTCCAAGGGCAGCATGCCAAGATCATGTGAAACATCAATTTAATTTCCTGTGCCTCTGGGATTCCTAACCTGATCTCCACTGGGATGAATGATACACAATGTTCTCTAACATCTCTTTTCCTCTGTTCCAACTTGTGCACTGACCTGACTGTGTCCCAAAAAGTTTGCCATAAAAAAGGACATCCCTAATCAGCGTGTTCAAACGACTTCATTCAAGAGGATGCCCTGAAAACAGCTCTGCCAATAACGTAGAAGCAATCAGACCACACACCACACTGTGGGCTCCATCACCATGAGCTACACGATTAAAGCACACACTTGCGGTTTGGGAGCCCCCACCCTTGTCCCCATGGCTGGAACCACTGTGGGAGTTCCACAGAGGTGAGGCATATGCCCAGAGAAGAAAAGGAGAGAAAATCAAACAAAGATCATGCACACTTTCACCCCTAATCCCTCCTCATGCATGACCAGCCCCAGTCCAGTTTCTAGAAGTGAAGACTGTGTGTGTATACAGGCCAACACTCCCCTCTTCCCATCAAATTTCCATGGAAGTTCCATTCCATGTGAGTCAAGTTCCCTAACTCTGCCCACTCAAGAGCTAGGCAAACACTGGGAAGCTAGACATAAACGTCAGCCTGCAGCCCTGCCTCAGAACACAGGGCTGGAAGCGGCTTCTGGTCAACAGTGCGGGGACCTGCCACCTTTAGTCTGTGCCCCAGAGCGAAGACCAGAGTCTCTGGCTACAGACCTTATCATCCAGTTGCCTGTAGAGACTGGAGAGCTCCTCGTCATACTTCTCCTTCTCCGCAGCAGAGATGCTGGCGACCACAGCACCGACCCCGGGAGCAATGTTGTCGATGATGGGGGTGTTGTCACAGGGCTCCAAGGTCTTCTGGTCCTTAGCGCTGATCTGCTCATCCTCAGGCACCGCCTCTCCTGCAAAACACAGCCGAAAGGGGTGGGGATTGAAGAAGTTCGCACGCAGCCCTCCAGGGGGAGTTCCCAAACCAGTCACTCCCATGAACAAGACAAAAGGACACATGAAGAGCTCTTATATAGAGCAATCGTTCACATTCTTTCCATTTGACAAGAAAGGTCATAATTAATTGACCAAAACTGGTTCCACCACAGAAACTCTTAACTAACCCAACGTGCAGCAATGCCCAGAACTGTCAGCTACACTTTATTTCTGAGGAACATGCTGGGGCTTTACTAGAATCATGCGCTCTCTAGTGACTGACTCAAAGGGAAACGGACCTCTGAGGCATCCTAATTACCAATTAATTAGGTTACTGTTTCGTTAATGGAAACAGCCACATCAAGGAACAAATTCGCCATTGTTTAAAAGAACACTGCAGGGCCCAAATTCCCTAACTTTCAGCTCTCTGAATCCAAAGCAGGTAGCCAGGGACCCAGGGACCCAGGGACCCAGGGACCCAGGCTGGCTCCGCACAATCACACATTCCACCATCAGCCCCTCTCTCCTGCAGGAAGTCGGAATTAACTGGCTCCACTGGAAAGTTCAAACAGAATAATTTCCTGCAATGCCAGGTTTTCCCAGGAAAGAAAAAGCAGCCAATCTAGAGTATCATGCAGACCTTACATACTACTTCTCAGTCTGCAGATGGTGTTGTTGGGCTTTCGAAAGAAGCATTACCAAGTCTGACCATGCAAACTGAGGAAAAAGGTGAAGTTCTCAAGCTGGCCAATGGCTATCCCCACCAAGAAAATCACCTGGCAGAGATGCGCTGCATAAAAAGGATGCTATGAAAACCATGTGGCCCAACGGAGTCTCTCAAATATCTTTTTGGAAAGCAAACCAAAACCAAACATACTTTCCCCATCACACTGTTTACCATCAACTTCACACTCAGTTTGCTACCATCAGTGAGTGTCTGCAACGTTCCAAGCCTCACTCCACTTAGCCCATAAAATGCATTTTGTGGAAATTCCCCAGGAAAACTGCTCTGCGCCAGAGGAAAGTCCTTAAAAAACACACACACACTACAGAACTGAGATCCTAATCCGTAGATTCATAAACAATATAAATCATGCCTCCAGGAACCCACCTGAACACTGTATACATGATCTCAACATAAACAAAGCACTTTGTGATGTGTAAGTTTTGCTGCTGAAGACTCCATTATCAAACTGATAATCACAAATGGCCTCCATACCAAATAAAATTAACACGAAATGATTTCACTTATATCACAGTTCTGTTTTAAGCAGAAACTTGAAGCAAAACCTAGAATCAACTATTACTTTGTTGAATATAAAACTGAGCCAACCCTTTTTCCTCCTAAAGCTCAGCTAGACCCAAACCTTTTCCTAAAATTATTGACCTAAAAGCAAAACCAGAATATCAGAGTAGCCTTTGAACTGAACCTGAACCAGATCAATATTTCATTCAGTTTCAACCCTGGTTTAAAACATCCACCAACAACCTTAGTGTGCTGACTGAATTTCACCCAATTAAAGGACTTATATTCTCTACAGCCTGCTAAACCCCCGGCCATAAAAGCAGTACCATGTTTTAGTTCTTAAGGATTTTTTTTGCTTTAAAAAAATTGTACACACACACACATCATTTCTAACCACAGTGTATACACTAAAACTTGACATCCCTACCTCCCAATTTCTCCCTCTCCAGACGAAGTCACCACTAACACTTTGGTAAATGTCCTTTCTCTGCTTGGCTCATGACCGTATCTCTAATTCTTCAATTCCAGCTCATGAAATTTGTGAACATGGCAAACTAGTGCAGTAGGAATTTGATCTTTCGGCTTAAAATGATGGTGAATTCTTAACTGTGCCAGACCTTAAACCAGTCGGATGTTGGTCATATTACCCATAGGCCAACTCATCCCAAGTCCAGAAGTGAGATACAAAAATATCTGGAAGAGACACATATCCCTGTGTTATTTGGTTCCAAAAGGCCATAGAGGCAGTGCTCTTATAAGGCTGGTGTGAGCTAAGGAGCTGCCCTGTGTGTGTTTCAATTCCTTGGGGCAGGCAGGAGCCAAGAATGAAACTCCACAACCTAGCACCAAGTCACCTGCTCCAACTAAAGCCACAGGTTTCACCGCCCCTCCTCCAGGAGCTGCTCCAGTCTCCCACCCCATCTCCCAAGGAGGAATCAGAACAACACCAAGTGCCAGGTGGTCCCAGACGGGAGAGGTTCAAGCTCACACACACTGACACCAGGTCCCTGAAAGGTATCAGCCACTGCATAAATGTTTCCAGTGCTTGTCGGGACACTGAGCCACACTGCTCCTTTCACAGACTAATTAATCACAGGACCACCGCCTGCTTAACCTCCTGGCTTGCTTTTTACAAAGGAGAGGAAATGATAATGCCTCTGATACAGCATTGTTCTAAAGATTAATTAAAATAGTATCTGTACAATACAAAAGATGTTATTATTTAAAGTCCATCTCTTAACCCTCCTCTCCCTGACAAATTGTCAACTCTTTTAGGCTTTGCAGATAAATTACTATTTTTAGTTATTCTGAGATTAGTGTTTCTGGGCTCTTCACAATACCTTTGTGGTTAGAGCTCATTTCCAAAATTAAAATGCAATATATCTATGCAAGCCTCTTTCAGGTTTACTTTCATTGTTATTATTAAGACACATTTGAAACCTACAGCAGACTTTCTGGTTTCTCTTGACGAATTCTCTGAATCGAAGCATCAACACGTCCCCCGCAAAGCTCCATCTACACAACGAGCCCTTCTAAAGGTCAGGCAGTCGGAATTATTTTTTGCAGCAGCCGTTCGGGCCAAGGAGAACAAAGCAACACGCAGGAACAAAAGCAGCAGGCATCGGTGGAGAGCACAGCTCCTGCCCGGAGAGGACCCGGGGCTGGTGTTCCCAGCACCACTGCCCTTCAAAGGGCCGAGAAAATGACTTCCAGAAGCGTCCCTGGTAACTACACTGTCCGGCTCACAAACACGTCTGGGGATTATAAATTCCCAACTCTGTGCACGGCCTGACACTAGGCAGTCTGTCTCCATGGCAATCTCACCACCGTCATCGAGAAGATCCCTGCACTGCAGACCGCTCTCCCCAGAAGCCCCCGAGAGGTGATTAAGGAGTAACTGATTGTAACAGGAAGACAGCTGCGAACAAACCCCGAGAAATAAGGCCCTAAAATCTGGTGGCGGGAGAACAGAAAAGGACTACCAAATGAAGATTAGCACCTATTTTATTTTTATTCTCCTTCTTTGCATTAAAAGCAAATTTCTCTCAGTTTATCCCCTGAGGCTTCCGGCCTATCCACAGGGAAAGGGCTTGTAATATTGTAAAGACCTGATTTTTTTGAACGAAAGCTCCCCTCCCCCTCCCCCTAGCCCTTCCCTCTTTAAAGAAGCACTCTGGCATTTCCTATTGTCAGCTGTAATTACCTCTAAGGACTAAAAAGATGTGTGTGTACACAGAGCACTGACTTGGAGCGCACCTGTGAGGTTTGCAGAGCATTTTAATTATAAAATGAAACCCCCCAGAGGGTACAGGTAATATTCCTACAAAAAGTAGAAATCCATCAATTGCAATAAACAAGAATAACAGATTAATCAAAAATTCCTGTTAGGGCTATTAGTTAAAAACTCCAAACCAGGCTTTTTGATTTTGTGTTTATGAGAGAGAGAGAGAGAGAACCATTAGACTGCCAGTAATTCATTAAAATTTCACATGTGAAATGGCAACGAGCTAGTTGTCCTTTTCATAGGTCGAGTTCCTGAAGCCTGTAAGGACACAGGAAGGTAACTGCACTCGCTAAACTCCAGGGCAGGTCGAGCTGGTCCCTCCCAGCTTCTCCAGGAATCCACAGAGACCTGCAGTTCCGGCGTGGGGGGGGGGGGGTGG